CCTTGACTAACACCAGTGATCACTGTTCCTCTACCCTGAAGAAATTTTCAGAAGGTCGCTCTAGCTCTATTCTTTAATAATTATGCCTCTTACGGCGCTTATCCTGTACCCCTTCAGGGTAACGCTGTTTATGAGCCTGCCTTCCTTCCCCCGGAAGAGTAAAGGCTTCCTGAGGGCAGGGTCTTTATCTTTTCATCCCTGCACTCACTCCCCACAGCACCTACAATCCTGTCTGGTGCAACCTTGTCATTCAGGGAACTTGATTGGATCTGTTGTTGTGGAAATAACCGATGAAGTGCTTGGGAACTAGCATGTAACTACACAGAGATGGAAGGGTCATCAAAGGAAATAGCAGGCATTCCTCTCTGTCCAGAGAGATAAACAAGCTTGAGCCTCCCCCTCTGGCCTGGAGTGAGCTGGGAGAATAGCATTATGACCTTTCTTGGCAAAAGCGACAGCAAATTATCTGATGGTTCTTTGGTAATGTAATACTCCAAGCTCTCAAGTTCTTAAAATTATAGAATCATGGCAGCTTAAAGCAGCAAAAGATGGTGGGGGCACAGTTTCTACTGTAAAAGGGGTCGTGACCTGTATATTCCAGGGTGGCTGTGAGCTGCGAGCCTGAGCCTCGAGCACGGGGCAGAAGTGCTACAACAAATGGGAACTCCATTCTTCCCTCAGGGGGCATGAGCTTCATTACGCAGGGAGAGACAGGGAGGAGAGGTTATAGGGCAGGCCCACAGAGGCAGCTCGGGCTAAGGTAAGGACAATGGGGCCACCTCAGGATGAGACACCATTTTAAACACACAGGTGTACATTCCCAATGGGGATTTTAACTCTTGAGCAGCATCAGGCCTCTCCGAGGCTATGCGTTTCCCTGTCACGTTAGCCTCACCGCACTGGATTATAAAATCACAGTAATAAACCGGCAGCTTCATTTGTTAAAGATAACTGTACGTGTGGCTTCAAAAGTCACAAAACAAGAACAGATGTTAGAGGCAAAGTGAATGGCACTCAAGCCAGAACGGGCATACCTTGTAGCTGAGTTAAAGAGTTAAGTTTAGAGCCAACTGGGTAGACACAAGGGAGAATAATCTCCACAATGTACTAGCAAGCAGGGCAAGAGCTATTACAGCTTCCAGAAAAGCTCACATCAAAGGTCACATTTAAGAAAAAAGAGGACTTGGGGGGGGAAGATGCTGGCAAGACTGATAATGAGGCAACAGGTACAGGGGAGTCTTGAGCTAAGAGCCTGAGGCATATGTTTCTGGCCAGATTCCTCCAGAGAGCGGAAGAGAGGGCTGTAGGGGAGAATGGTGATGGTGGTGGATGGGAGAAGGTAGGGAGAAGGAAGAGGGAGCAGACAAGGGACGATGATCGCTCAGTCAGGAGAGGAGGTAGGGGAGATCCGTCCCAGGAATCACAACCATGAAGCTCTGGCCGGAAGGGAAGGCACCTGTTGCTGGATCTAGATCATGCTCTGGATTTTAGAAAACCTCTGCCCAGATACAAACAATTTGTAAAGTGGTATTAAAGACAAATTAATGTTCACTGGTGCTGTGAACTTTGGTTCTATTTATTATCGGACACAATTTCTGTTTTCACTTACTAGCCAGTTTCCCTTTGTGTCTGCATAAATAACACACAGTAGGGGCACCCTGGGTGGCTCAGTCGGTTAAGCGTCTGACTTATTAATTCAGTTCAGGCCATGATCTCAGGTTCAAGCCCCATGTTGGGCTCTCTGCTGTCAGCGCGGAGCCTGCTTTGGATCCTCCCTCCCCTGTGCGCTCTCTCTCAAAAATAAAATAAATGTTAAAAAAAAAAAAAGAACACACTGTATACTATTATACCATATGTAATTGTCTTAAACTTTAATAAGTTAACATTTTACAGGCACGTAGGTGGCTTAGTCGGTTAAGTGTCCGA